GCTCCGCGTGCCCACCGAACGGGGACGGGAAGAAACCAGCGTTTTCAGACGGGGGCCATTTGTCGAAAGACCAGAAGAAGAATTATTTCAAGCGAAACAACCCAGTTGTGTGCGCGAAGTGTTTTAAAGCGGGACGAGCGCCGCGGAGAGACCCTCCGAAACGCCCGGCGGAACCAAGTGACGAGCATTGCGACAAGGCACGGAAGTTGCGAGGAATCTGACCGCTGGGGACGGGATGGATAAGGGGGACGTGGAGGAGGGAGGATGGGGGAGCAGCCAAAGGCGGAGAAGGTGAAAAGTGAGCCAGTGGAGGGAATACGAGACAGAAAGCTGAGAGGGGAGACGGGAGGAGGGGGCGGAAGAGGAGGATGAGAAGGAGCAGGAGAACACGACGAGGACGACAATGGCGGCGACAGACTCGACGGCGTAGGCTGGGCACCTTTTTGGGGCCATCTTGGGGGCTTCGTTGACCGTTGTGGGAGCCTCTGGCGCCGTCGTCGTGAGAATCCTCTCGGGGGCCTGCGGGAGGCAGTTTGGAGGCTTCTGGGGAGCTGTTTTGGGGCAGCTTGGGGCTTTTTTTGGGCTTGTTGGGGGCCTCTTGGGGGCTTCTTGGAGCCTCTTGGAGGCCTCTTGGGGCCTCCTTGGCGCCTTTTGGGGCGGAAGGCTAGAATTTTAGGTTCGTGGTCCCCGTCTGGAGCCTTTCTTGGGCCCCTCTGTGGGCCCTCTTGGACTGTCTGAAGGCCCTCTTGAGCCGTTTTGAGGCGCTCTTGGGCCGTGTTGGGGCCCACTTGGGAGCCTCTCGGGTCGTCTTGATGCCGTCTTGGGGGCTTCTTTCGCCGTCTTGGAGCGTCGGAAGCCCGAAAAAACGCGAAGGCCAAAAACGTTGAAAAAACCAATGGAAATCGACGATTTTGGCCTCTTGGGGCCATCTTGGGAGGCGTCTTGGAAGCTTCTTGGGGCGTCTTGGAGGCATCTGGGGCCATCTGGAGGCCATCTTGACCGTCTTCGAGTGTTTTTTCGGCGACTCGGGGCCCTCTTGGACCGTCTGCAGAGCTTCTTGGGAGCCTCTTCGCTCGTTTGCGGCCCCCCCAGCAGACTCTCTGGAGCGGATGACCCCCCCCGGACCGCGCCGGCGGATCCCGGGGAATCCGGCCGGACCCCCCCCCCCCCCCCTCCAAAACGACCGGACCAGGCTCCGGGGGGAGGGGTTTGGGGAGGGGGGAAGCATCTCACACGCCGATGACCCCAAGGGGTCGGCGGATTTAGGAGCTCCACTAGTTAGTGACCTCTACCACGTCTTTATCCCTTAATCGGGGGCAAGCGGCCCTCCCGATTGCTGCTCGCAAAAGCAGAGGCGTTCATGTTACGTCATCGCCCCCGCTGTAGCAATCCTGAACTAATGCCCCACGCTGCGCAAGGGTTGGGTGCGTCGCCAGGGTAATGTTATTTGGACCGCGAGGGCACAAGCGAGGTGCATGCGTGAAGATGTGCAAGAATATTGAGAAGGGGTCGGTCGAAACCTGCACACGGGTGCGATTCGGATCCTGTCATATGTAGAAAACCGTTGAGGCGCCCTTCGCCAACATCGCGTTGCAGTTGGGTGTAGCTTTGTCGAGGCATGGCCATACGATGGCGACGCGATGTATGTTGGGCAAGTGATTTCAACCAGTGACATCCGCGACCTGGAGACTGGGCATCGGGTTTCCAGGAGCTGGGCCGCCTTCGGCATGTGCGACACAAAGCCCACACAGACATGCCCTGTTGAAGCAAAGTTTGCGTCTATTGAATGCCCTCGTGGCGTCAACCGTTCCTTATGGCAGCGGCCGCTGGTCTATGCAGCGGAAAGAGAGCGCCAGCTGAGAGTGGAAGAGCGTGAATTGATGCGAAGTGTTGTAAGTTGCTAATACGCAATACGCCGCAGACGTACAGCGAACTGGCAGAAGACAGCGTGGAAATCGAACCTTGGGTGGGGTGGACCCAAGGAGCACTGCACAAAGCAGAATTCATAATCCAGAACTTTTGGCATCCTTGCATCCCCCCGAGGCGGGTGAGCCCGACGCTTCCCTAGGCACGGGCGCGGGGCACTCCCCCGCCGCGCGTCTGCATCTTGCATGTTTCATCCATGCGCCATCCCAGAGGCCATCTTGAGACATCGGAAGCCACATTATTGGAGTCATGTTGGCCCAAACGCTTTCCTAGCACACCCCGAGATGCCCAAACCTATGAGCACATCCAGGTGATTGGGCACGCAGGTGCTCTACTGGTTGAGGTTTTGCACGAGGGAGGCGACGCGGATTAGCGCCCACCTTCCCGAGCCCGATAAGTCGAATTTGGTGGCGGTCGCGAGGCCGACGCGCGGCCCCTCTTGGGGCTCTCTTGGGCCATCTCCGAGCCCGTTTGGGATTGCAGAAGCTTGTTGGCGGAAATACGACGTGTGACAAGGCAAACATTAGTGCTTCCCTATGGTGTGGGAAAGATTTTGACCTGTTGGTGGCATCCTTGGAATGTTCCGTGGCACTTGGAGTCGTCTTGGAGGTGTCGCGGGGCCTCCTGGAGCATGTTTGAAGCCATTTTGCGCGATACTTCGCTATTTTGCTTTAGTTTGAAAGCTACATTGGGCGGTTCAACGCCATCATGGAACAATTTTGGGCACTCTGACGCTTCGGGCCTGCCCTCGTCCAGACCAGAGGAGAGCGGAGAGAGGGGAGCAAGCGTCTACCCGACGGGGAAGCTGGGGGGGGGGAAAGCGAAGCGGCCTAGAGCACCTCAGCCCAGAGGGCTGGTGGGATGGGGGCTGCCCTTCTGGAGCCCGAAGATCGCTTTCGGTGCCCTCATACGAAGTTGGGTGTTCCCAGGGTCATACTGGACCTCTGTTGGGATTTCGGGGCCGTCTTGAGGCTTCAGATGCTTGTCGGAAGCGAAAGGTGGGAAGCCAGGCGTTCGCGGAAGCACTTGCACTCCTACCCGGAACTGTGGGGGCTTACGAATTGGAGGTCCGCACGGCACGCGCGCCTCCTCCTCGTTCGTTCGTTTCTCGTTATCCCCGCCCTGTTTCTACTCATTTTCTTGATATTAATCTTATTAGTTTGTTTATTAATTTTATTATGCGTATTATTGTTCTTCTTATTTGTCTGTTTCTTCTTCTTACGTTTCTTCTTATTATTCCCCACATCCTGAGTGGGGTTCTTGTTTTCCCAGAACACCCTCTCCTTCCCACCCACCTCCCGCTCCATCTTCCATACAGCACAATATTACTCCTACCACACACACCATACCATACCATAGTTCCTACCACACATACCATACCATACCATACCATACCATACCACACCATACGTACCATACCGTACCATACCATACCATGGCGTACCATAGCATACCATACCATATCACTGCCCCTCCCACCCCTCCAGGGAGGCCCCGCCTGAGCGAGGAGGGTATCGGAATACCATACTATTTACATGGTTTCGTGCCCCTCCCACCCCTCCAGGGAGGCCCCGCCTGAGCGAGGAGGGTATCGGAATACCATACTATTTACATGGTTTCGTGCCCCTCCCACCCCTCCAGGGAGGCCCCGCCTGAGCGAGGAGGGTATCGGAATACCATACTATTTACATGGTTTCGTGCCCCTCCCACCCCTCCAGGGAGGCCCCGCCTGAGCGAGGAGGGTATCGGAATACCATACTATTTACATGGTTTCGTGCCCCTCCCACCCCTCCAGGGAGGCCCCGCCTGAGCGAGGAGGGTATCGGAATACCATACTATTTACATGGTTTCGTGCCCCTCCCACCCCTCCAGGGAGGCCCCGCCTGAGCGAGGAGGGTATCGGAATACCATACTATTTACATGGTTTCGTGCCCCTCCCACCCCTCCAGGGAGGCCCCGCCTGAGCGAGGAGGGTATCGGAATACCATACTATTTACATGGTTTCGTGCCCCTCCCACCCCTCCAGGGAGGCCCCGCCTGAGCGAGGAGGGTATCGGAATACCATACTATTTACATGGTTTCGTGCCCCTCCCACCCCTCCAGGGAGGCCCCGCCTGAGCGAGGAGGGTATCGGAATACCATACTATTTACATGGTTTCGTGCCCCTCCCACCCCTCCAGGGAGGCCCCGCCTGAGCGAGGAGGGTATCGGAATACCATACTATTTACATGGTTTCGTGCCCCTCCCACCCCTCCAGGGAGGCCCCGCCTGAGCGAGGAGGGTATCGGAATACCATACTATTTACATGGTTTCGTGCCCCTCCCACCCCTCCAGGGAGGCCCCGCCTGAGCGAGGAGGGTATCGGAATACCATACTATTTACATGGTTTCGTGCCCCTCCCACCCCTCCAGGGAGGCCCCGCCTGAGCGAGGAGGGTATCGGAATACCATACTATTTACATGGTTTCGTGCCCCTCCCACCCCTCCAGGGAGGCCCCGCCTGAGCGAGGAGGGTATCGGAATACCATACTATTTACATGGTTTCGTGCCCCTCCCACCCCTCCAGGGAGGCCCCGCCTGAGCGAGGAGGGCATCGGAATACCATACTATTTACATGGTTTCGTGCCCCTGCCACCCCTCCTGCGTCGCGAGGAGGGCATCAAGAAAATGGGTCCCACGAAACCGTTAATCTCTTTATGTGGGGAACTCCGTTAGCATAATTATTTTTCCTCCTCCTCCTCCTCCTCCCCCTACCTACCACTCCCCCTACATGCTCTTCCTATTCTGCCTTCTCGTCTCTTGTCGGGTGACGTCGAACCGACCACCACACCCATCCTGGCCTTGGCCCACCTTGGGCCACGGATCGGCGCGTGCGGTCTCCAAGGGGGCGCCAAGCACCGACCCAGGGCCCAGGATCGGCGATTTGGTCACGCTATGCCGTCCCTTGCTGTTTGTGCCCCGAGCAAGAAGAGGAGGAGGAGGCCGCCCTTCGAGGATGCCACCCTTCGCTGCGCACGGCCCACTCCGCAAGCTCCCCGCGCGCGCGCCCGCAGCGCGCGCCCGCGCGCGCCGAAGGTGGGGCATCAGGCCAGCGGCCCCTGCCGCTCGACGCGCGCGCGCGCGCCGCGGAACCTTGAAGGCTCCGACGGGTCCAACCTCACGCCTCGGAGCAGCCGTGCACGCGAGGCGCATGCCGGGCAAGGGCCTCCTCTCCGAGGGGTCGAGGGGGTGCCTCCCTCTGCTTCGGCGGAGGCAGCGCGAGGCCGCCCCCGCTGGCGGAAGCTGGTGGAGGGAAAGACAGGGCACACACACACACACACACACACACACACCAGGGGACATCAGCATGTTCGGGCCCTGGGCTTCCAGAGCAGGGCCGCTCGGCGTGGCCAGCCCGGGCGGGAGCTGGATGCCGCTCCGCGGCCGCGTGTTGGTCTGGCCGCTCCGTGGCAGGCGTCTGCGGAGGGGCTGCTCGGCACTCGGGCCGGCAGGCGCCCTCCGATGCCGAGATCGCCCGCGGGGCCACGACGCTGGTCGCGCCTCGCGCTTCGTGGCCTGGGCCAGGGTGGCCGCCCTTCTCCAACGGGGGCGGCGCGAAGGCGCGAAGATGCTCCTCCTCCTCCTCCTCCTCCTCCTCCTCCTCCTCCTCCTCCTCCTCCTCCTCCTCCTCCTCCTCCTCCTCCTCCTCCTCCTCCTCCTCCTATCGCGCATCGCGGGGCGCGACGCGCGCGCGAAGCTGGGTGACCGAGTCGATTCGATGGGACCCGCTTTCTCGCACGGGGGCTCGTGATTCGTGTCGAGGCGGCGCCGCCTCGGGCAGTTGGCTTATGGGGCTCCTCGCCTTCCCTGCCCTGGAGGAGGAGGATAGGCAGCAGGCGGCAGCAGCAGCAGGAGGAGGAGGAGGAGAAGAAGGAGAAGGAGGAGCAGAGGGGGCAGCAGCTCTGTGCAGGCCCTGCTTGCCTGATCAGCTCATGGCTCGGAGGAGGGGGAGTTCCAGGTCACAGAGCTATGGCGGAAGAGCAGGAGGACCCCTCCCCGTCCGCGACTTGGCTTCGCTGCTGCCCGATTCCGCGCGGCCATGCAGTTGAGTGGCGCCTCTTCCGCTCCTCTTGGGTCCCCAGCCTCATCCGCGCGTCCGTACCCTCACGGGCCCAATCCCTGCAGCACCCCTCTCCGCCCCCGCCCAACCTCAAGCGTGAGCTGCTGCCCACCTTGCGCAGCAAGGCCGTCGCAGGAAGGAGGGGGTGCAGTCTGGGATCCAAATCATGCTTCAGGACGGGAGGGAGTCAGAACGCCTTCCGCCCGCCACAGCCACTCGGCTTACTGCGCTTGCACTGGACAGCCATGCCAGAGTTTCAGAGCAGCAGGGTCGGGGTGGTGTTGACCCAGAAGATGGACCCCGCTCATGCGTCAGCCACAGTCCAGCCCTGCCAACCAGCGCCTCAGATACATAGGCACCTGAAACGGCTCGAGACTTTGAACTTCTGGACGCGGGAGGAGAAGGCAAAGGAGGAAGACGAAGGAGGAAGACGATCAAGAAGACAGGGGGGTGCTCGGGGGGCGAGGAGGGCGTGAGAGGGGGACCTTGTGGAGTAAGATGAGGGGTGAGGGGTGCAAGAAGGGAGGAGGACGATGATGACGACCTGAACAAAGGGCGACGAGGACTTGAACAAAGGACGGCGAGGATGTGGACGATGATGTGGAGGAGTAAAATGCCTTATGCGTATTGCTGGTATCGGCTTCCTGTCCCTACTCGTCCTGAGAAGCCTCCAAGGAACCTACAGGACAAACTTCCAGAAGCAATGACAACACGGCAGGAGTCCCATCCCAACCATTTCCCAAATAACCACCTCAATAACTTCCTAAAGCGAATCACCGCCACCCCTGCCTTGTCTGAACATGTCGGTGCACAGCTTGACCAAGCTATTGGTCTGTGTGTTCCACCAGCCGTTGTGGAAACCCGTGTGGAAAGACTTGGGGATTATTTGGCAGCGGCCTGAACCCAAGACGCCACGGGTCAGCAGTGGGTTGCGGATTAGCCTGTTTGTCTTGTGCAGGTTAGTCCGAGTCCTTTGAAGAAATCTCACATTGGTCTCGATGGGCTTCCAGCCGAAGAGAGGCTCACACTTGGGAGAGCTGACCAGTAGGCTTAGCCTCCTCAGCTTCCTCCTCCTGGGGCTTCTTGGCCGTCGGGGACAGCCCTGGGGGGCTCTAGGGGTTGCCGTGGGCCCCTCTTTGGGCGATATGGGACTTTACGGGATGTGTGTGAGCCTTCTTGTGGCGTTTTGGGGACATGTTGGGCCGTCGTGGAATAATGTCGGGTCATATTGGTGGCATCTTGGGCCCTCTTAGAGCCGTCTTGGAGGTCATCGTGAGCCAACTTGGCCTTCTTGGAGGCCTTATTGGGGCCATCGTTGGGCTGATAGATAGCCTTTGTCTCACAACTGATGATGTTTTCTGGGTGGTTGGCGCAATCGTCCGAGACCCCCACAAGCACTTTTGTAAGCAGCAGGGGGCGTCTGATATATGATTTCCCTTCGGCGCATCCCGCCACCGTGCTTGGGTTGTGTGTCCGAGGCTCTTTGTATGCATGGGTGAGGGTCGCTTGGAATGCCTCGCGGAAGCCTCTTGGCGGTTTGTTGGTGGCCTTTTGGAGGCCTCCAGCGGCCTCATGGGGGCCTCTTGAGGGGCTCTTTTGAATCTATTGGAGGCTTCTTGGGGGCCTGCTGACGGTCTCGGGGGTCATCTTGGGGCGGAGGCCTGGAAATGTGAGTTTGGGTTCCCTGTCTTGCGCCCCTCTTGGGGCCCTCCTGGGCCCTCTTTGGGCGCGTGTTTGGCCACCTTGGGTCCCTCTTGAGCCAGTTTTGGGATGGGAAGCCGAAGCAAGCGAGAACGCTAACAACCTTTAAACGTCTACGACACATCACTTGTTTTTGAATCTTGGACCCCCCGTTTGGGTCTTCTAGGGGTCCTCTTCAGGCGTCTTGGGGGCATCCTGGGCAGTCTTGAGACCATTTGGGGCGTCTTGGAGCGCTCTTTGACCGCCTGCAGAGCCTCTTGGATCGTCTCGGGATCCGTTTGATCCGTCTTTCAGCCGAACGGCCTCAGACAAACTCCTGCGACGAGGGCCACGTTCGACCCCTGGGAAAATGAGGCAACTGAGCTTATGAAATCTTCGCCATACTGCAAAGGGGTCACGAGGGAAACGTGCCCTTATATGTTTACCGTTTTCAGGCTCTCGGGAACTTCCACGGGCCTGGGGATTAGAAACACCTTACTCCAGATGAAAGGTTGGTCTTGGGGAAAGGCGCGGGGTCAAGGACCCGTTTGTCCCAGGACCATTTCTTCATTGTATCCGAAAGTTCAATGCTCGGGGTCGGCGACTCTTGCGGACACGAGGACGCTCCACTCAGTGCCTACGGCATTGTGACGTATAAGGGTGCACCTATATATATATATATATGTGTGTGGGTGCATCCATACATACGTACATACATATATATATATATATATAGATACATACATACATACATACATACACACACATCCATAAAATACATACATACATACATACACACACATACATACATACACACACATACATACATACATACATACATACATACATACATACATACACACAGACAGACAGACAGACAGACAGACAGACAGACAGACAGACATGCATGCATACATACATACATACATACACAAACATATATACACACACATCCACACATACACACATACACACATACATACACACATACACACATACACCGTCTAGCATGCCATATCAGTATATATCGCCGCGCCGTTTGTTTTGACGCGCGGCATTACGCCTTGGGAAGGGCGCCGCGGCCACTAGGACAGACGCCGCCTCGGGCGCAGGGCTCGCCGTGCGTTTGGCCGCGGCGCCAGCTTCGTCTGGTTGGGCGCGGGACGCAGGGCTTGCCGTTGGTTTTACGTGGCATCGGCGTCGTCCATTTGGGCGCGTCGAGAACAAACGACGCGACGACATATGTATATGTGCACATAAATGTGTAGACATATCCATATATACTGCTACATCTAAGCACATATTCATAGGTGCGTATATGTATAATGGTGTGCTCAAGACCACGCTCAAAACTACACCTATTCCTGGGGCTCCATGCAAGACTTCAGCCCCTCTCCCTAAAGGAAGCGGATGATGATGGAACCGGGCCCGAGCCTCTTGCCTTTTCGACCAGGGCCAACTCTTCCGCCCAGGGAGCGATGGGCCCCGAGGGGTCCCGGGCCATGTCTTGGAGGACGGCCCCAGCAGCCGGCGGAGGGCCCCCTGGGGGGCCCCAGAGCGGCAACGAGGGTTCCTCTCCTCCGGGACCCACCTCCCCCTCACGCCAGCAGTCCTGTGGGGGGGGGGGGGGCCTCCCTCCCCCGGCTGCCGCGCGCACGCCCCTCTCCAGCCGAGGTGCGGAGCATTGCAGAGGAATTGGAGGCGAGCCGGTCGCCGCGACGCCTCCCGTCGTCCCCGCCGTCGTTGTCCGCCTCGTCGTCCACCTCGCCCTGCTGGAGGAGTGGAAGAAGGCGGGGGGAGCAGGGAGGAGGGGGGAGGAGGAAGGCGCTGGAGGAGAACGAGGAGGAGGAGGAGGAGGAGGAGCAGGAGGAGCAGGAGGAGCAGGATAATGATGGAGAGTGAGGAACGGAAGGGATGAGGGTGGAGGAGGGGATGGAGGAGGGGATGGAGAAGAAGATGCGGAGGAAAAGGTGGAGAGAGGAGAGGAAGAGGGGGACGGCAGACGGGGGAGAGGAGGCGGGGGACAAGTGCATTCGCGCCGCATCTGACATCTCACGCATCTGAACCCATCTCCCTCTTTGCAGGCGCATCCCGAATGTGTTGTTCGCGAGGTGCGCTGAATCGACTGACTGATTCGTCGCACCTGTTAGCAGGCCGTTTTATCGAAGACGCCTACGGCGAATCACCGTTGCCCCCTTCCTTTTGGAATCGCCAATGTGGCCCAGCGTTGTGGCATATCTGTCAAGCTATCGGACCAGGTGTGCCCCCAGCCGTTGTGGAAACCTCTCGAGGAACAATTGGGGGAGGATGGCGGGGACGATCAGGAGGAGAAGGAGGAGGAAGAGGAGGAGGAGGAGGTATCTTTGGAGCCTCTGGGAGCACTCTTGGGGCCTCCTGGGAGCTTCCTGGGGGCCTCTTGGAAGCATCTTGGGGGCCTCCTTGGGCCTCTTAGGGGCATTCGGGGATTTCTCGGAGGCCTCTTTGGCCGTCTCAGGGCATTCGTGGCCCGTGTGACGCCGTCGGCAGCCGTCTTGGGCGCCTCTCTCGGCCGAGTTGGGGCCCTCTTGGGGTGCTCCAGGGCCGTCTTGGAGGCAATCTTGGGCGTCTCGGAGGCCTCTTGGGGCCGTCTTCGGGGCCCCTTCGGCCGTTCTGAAGCCATCTTGGAGGCCTCTGCGGGCGATCTTTTGGGCTCTCGGGCCGTCGGAAGGCCGAACAGAAGCAGATGCCGAAATCTTTCAAGAACCAGCGGAAAATGAAGAATTTTGACATCTTTGGGCCTTCCTGGAGGCCCTCTTGGAGGCCTCTTGGGCCGTCTTGGAGACCTCTTGGGGGCCTCTTGGGCCGTGTTAGGCCACTTTGGAACCTGACGCCGTCGGAAGCCGTTTGGGGGGCCTCTCTCGGCCGACTTGGGGCCCTCTTGGGGGGCTCCAGGGCCATCCATCTTGGAGGCCATCTTGGGCGTCTTGGATGTCTCTTGGGGCCCCCTTGGGGCCGTTTTGGAGGCCTCTTGAGCGTTCCGGGGCCATCTTGGAGGCCTCTTTGGCGATCTTGGGGCGATCGTTGGGGGCTCTTGGGCCGTTTCGGGCCGTCGGAAGGCCGAAAATGTATGTGAGGACCACTTGAATGCTCTTCCAGCCTCGGCCTGTCGTGTCTGAGCAGAGGCGCCCTGCCTCTGCCGTATATTCTGCTACCGTTGGTCTCAAGCTTCAGCGCGGCGGGGCCCCGCGCCACTTCAGATGGTGGCGGGGCTCTGCGCGGCCTTGGCGGCGGCTGGGCCCCGCGTGCTGCGGGAACTGGCGCGCGGGGCCGTGGCCGAGGCGGCGCGGGTGGCGTTTTCGGGTTGCCCCGACTGCCGCCCCGCTGCCTGCCCAGGCTGCCTGCCGCCCCCGCCTTGCCCGGCGTGGGAGTGCGTCGCGGCCGCGCCGTCGACGCAGGGCACCACTTGGCCGCTCTGGCGGGCCGGTGGAGCGCGACGCCCGAGGCCGCACCACGGGTGGGCGCGTCGCGTGGGCATGTCGACCTACGAGGAACGGCGGCCGAGAGCCCGCTTACTGTTGAGGTTCGAAGGCGATGAGTGGACGCATGAGCGCATCTTGCTCTGGCCCGTGCATATCGCCGCCATGAGTGTTGGGTGATCGAAACACCCGACGGCGACCGCTATGTGGAGCGGAAAGCCGACCGGCGGTGGCACGTCTCGGTGCTGCGCGGGTGACCCGAGGGCTTCAATGGCAATGTCGCGCGCTTCCAGGCGGAGTTGGGCCGCGAGGCGCTGCGCCAGATGGTGCTGCAGAGGGCCGCGACCTGGCCTGGGAAGAGCGCCGACGACGTCGGCTGCCGAGGGACCTCGGCGCTCACCTGGGCGAGGAGCCGCGCTCGATGGTGGACTGGCATGGCGACGAGTGCGGGATGAACGTCGGCGTGCTGGAGGCGGCGAGGCGCCGGCTGTTTGGCAAGCGGCCGCTGGGCGCTGGCGAGCGGGCGCCCGAGGTGGCCAGCGACGAGGCAGCCGCGCGCCCCGCCCGTGGTTCTTCCCCGCTGGAGGACGCAGACACCGCGCTGCTGGTGGCGGGGCTGCACGCCGGCGCGGCCGCCTGAAGCTGGGCGACAAGGTCATCCCTGGGGGCGCCGACGTCGCCGCGGGGTCGAAGGTGATCGGGCTGCGGACGGACGGGCGCCCCGCGCTTGGCTAGCGAGTGGCGGCCTCGACTGGGGAGGAGTGGCGGGCCCAGGCGCTCGCCAACGCCGGGCGCCTGGCCGCGCCGCCAGCTGCGCCCGCTGGCCCACCCCTTGGCGAGGACCGCGGGCCCGCCGACCTCCGCGCGGCCCTGCGGGAGGCGCCGCGCGGCGAGGTGACGGGCGCCGACGCGCCTCGAGAGGACGGCGCTGCCGTTGGCTCAGAGGGCGCCGGGGCGCTCGCCGCGGGGTGGAATGAGCAGGGCGCCCGTTTCAAGGAGCGGCGTCGCGAAGTCGGTGCGAGCAGCGAGGAGGCCCTGGATGGCTGCGAGCTGCAGGGCGCGGGGAAGCCCTTCCACCTGTGCCAGCGGTTCACCCAACACGGTGGCGATCCGAAGACATGGATGTCCAACTTCTGCCGGGGGCACAGCGTCAGCCAGCGGGGCCGGACGAACCGCGAGCTGAACTGCCAGGTTACCGTCTTCTGGCTGGCCGGGACGTTCGACGCGGCGAACTTCGGCGGTCTGGCGCGCCTCGAGGTGTCGGCGGCGCGGATCCAGTTGAAGGATTTCGAGAGCCACATGTTGCGTTCGCCGCTGGAGGTGGACGAAATCCATGCAATGCGCGGCCCAGTTCGATTTTATATGGGCCCAGTTTTGAGCCGCAAGCGCCCCGCCTACATCGGCCTGGTCAAGCGGCCGCTGAAGGTGGGCCCGGCGCGACTCTTGACCACCCGCCGCTGCCGGGCGGGGGTCCTCTTCGCGAGGAAGAAGGGCGATCGCCAGCGGCTGACCCTGGACGGCCGCCCGGCGACCCCCCCGCTCAGGAGCCCGCCCGGGGTCGACCTTGTCAGCGGCAACGACCTGAGCCGCATCGAGAGGTCGGCGCCGCGTGGCCCTGGGCGAGGCGAGGAGTTGGACGACGCCCTGGGCGGCCAGGACATCTGGCTGGGCGTGGGCGACGTGAAGGATTGCTTCCACCACCTCCTCCTGGACGACGGGCCCGGCCTGCAGGAGCACTCCAGGCAATTACCCGCCGCCGTGGGCCGCGGAGCTGGGCCTGTCGCAGCGGGGCGGGGCGGCACTGGGACGCGACGCGCTGATCTACCCACTGGCCCGCGCGCTGTCCATATGGGACGGGCCTGGTCGCCGCTCCTCGCCCAGGCGGCCAACTCGCACCGCGCGGCGCCGCTGCGAGAGCTGGACGGCGCCCTGCCGACGACGGACCGTGGCCCCCGGCTCATCCTGGATGGCCCGCAGGCCTTGGGCCAGTATCGGCGCGATCGGGGCGTCCGAGGGGAAGGCGAGCGCAGCTTTGGAAGCTGTGGCGGCCTCCCTCGGCGGGGTGGGCTTCGAGGTCCACGAGACACCCCTGGCCAGCGCTAGGGGCGAAGCGTTAGGCGCGCAGCTCGACGGCCGCGAAGTGTGCACCCACGCACCCACGTCACGCCCTCCAGCTTTTGGCGAGTCCGAGGCGCGGTGCAGCCGCTGCGGCGGCGCCGTGCTGCGAGCGGGCTCGAGCTGGAGATCGCCGTCGGTCACCTCGCCTTCTTGGGCCTGGCGCGACGGGGGAGCTCGATCTGCTTCCACTGCATCCACCGCTTCATCCAGCGGCACTACTTCAAGAGGGTCGCGCTGTGGGGCAGCGCGGAGCAGGAGCTGCGGGCTTTCCTAGGGTTCATGATATTCTCGCATGCCGATTGGGGCGCCGGGCGGCGGCCGGGCGCGCGCCAGTCCGACGCGCCCCTCGACGGCACTGGCTTGGCCCACTCGCTGCGGGGCCCGCGGGGCGTCGGCCGCGCGCGAGCGGCGCCGCCATCGCCTCGGCGCGGGGTCTGCACGACGGCGCGCCGTGGAGGTCGCTGGCCTGGAGCTGCTGGCGGACGGCGGCATCGTCGCGCATGACAGAGTCCCGCGCGCCAGCGACCCCCAGGGACTCGCCGGAGCCAGGGCCCCACCTTCGAGGCGGTGCCGGCGGAGCTGCTGCATGCCGACCGCTGGCGGCCGGCGGGCGGTCTGGGCCGATCGGCGGGCCTTCGAGGAATGGGTTCCTCCACCTCGAGGGCCTCGCCCTGATCAAGGCCGTGGAGCGCGCGGCGAGCTCGCGCGCTGGCCATGGCGGCTGGGCTCTTCTGCTGGGAGAACACGGCAGTGGCCCTCGCCTGCTCGCGTTCGCGGGCGCGGGACTTCAAGCTGCGGGCGACGATTCGGCGGGCGGCGGCGCGCCCGTCCGGGCGCGGACTCGCGCTCAGTTATGGGTGGGCCCCTTCTGAGTTCAACAGCAGCGACGAGGTGGCTGATCGCTTGCGAAGGAGTATGAGGCGGAAAAGCGCGCTACCCACCAGTTGCCTCGTGGAAGGGGCGAAACGAGACAGACGCGATAGGGCCTTAAGGGCCCAGAGGCTGGCGCTCGGGAGGCTGCCTCCGCGCGCCCTCTCTTGCCTTCCTGGCTCGAGGAGGAGGGCGGCGCCCCGGCGGGGGCAGGCGCGTGTCCAGCGGTTGGCGGCGCCCCCGGGTTGGCGGCCGAGCGCCGCACGCCCCCGCGGGGCCGGGCAGCCCAGGCTCGGGCGCCGACGCGGGCCCCGTCGGCGCCGCGGGCCGCGGCCAGCACCAGGCGCGTCGCCTCGGGCAGCAGGAGCCTGCGGAGGACGCGCACGCTGAGCAGGACGGCGCGCGGCGGGCTGGACCGCCGGGCGAGCGCGGGCGCGGCGCCGTCGCCGGCGGGCCTCGAGCAGGCCGCCTCGACGGAGTAGGGCCAGGCAGCTGCGACCTTGCTCGCCGGCGCCAAGGCCGCGGCCGCGACCGCCGCTGCCGCCGAGCACGACAGCGAGAGCAGCCGGGAAGAAGAGCTGCCAGGCCGCGGGCCCACCCGCGCCGACGCCCGCCGAGCAGCGGCGCGGGCGCGGCGCATGGCCAAGGAGGAGCTGCTGCTGGACCAGACGTACCTGGAGGCCCACAGCGCGAGGGCGGCGACGAGGGCGCGGTATCAGATGCACGCGGACGAGCTGATCGGCTTCGCGGACCAGCACGCCGCGCTGCTCGTCGAGGATGCCGAGGTCGACGACTGCATCGCGAAGTGAATGAACGCAGAGTTAAGCGCGGGCCACCGCGCCTGGCGCGGCGAGAGCATGCTGGCCGCGGTGATGTTCATGTTCCCGGGGTTCAGCCGCAAGGGTGGGCGGCGGCTTCCGCGGGCCTTTCGGTGCCTTCGCGGTTGGCGACTGTTGAGACCGCCGATGAGCCGCGCGCCCCTTCCGTGGCCCATGTGGGCGGCGCTGGCCTTGCAACTGGTTCGGCACGGTCACGGACTGGCGGTGCTCGTGATTGTCGAAGCGCACATTCGCCCCTCAGAGCTGCTGTCGCTGAGGCGCCGATCGCTGCTGCCTCCAGCCCGAGGCGGGCTGACAAGGTGGAGCTTCCTGCTGTTCCCAAGCAGCAACAGCGGCGTGACATGGAGCAAAGATTGCGAGGCCGACGACGCGGTGGTGATGGACTCGCCGCGGACGGGCCGGCTGTCGCACAGAATGCTCCCAGAGCAGTTGGAATTATTACCGGTGTGGTTGGGTTGTGATCCGTTCCATTTGTTGTTCCCTGCCCCCCTGGCGGGGAACAGCGGCGGGGCGTCCGACGGTGGATCGCGTTCACTCCGACGTTCGATGCTCGACCGGTGGACCGCCACGTCCGACCATTCGATCCCCGAGCGAGAGCTTCCATCCAAAACCCCCCCTTTCTTGTCCTGCCCCCTCTACTATGTGCCAGTCGCGACGCCGTTGGTGGCAACCCTGCCCCCCTCCCTTCCCCGCCGCCCTCCGCCCCGCCATCGATCGTCGACCTCGCAACGACGACGACGAGGACTCGCAGGCGGGACGGCCGGCGGCTGGAGCGGGGACCCCGGCTGGACGCGCCGCCGGCGCCTGGCCGCGATGCAGCGGCCGACGACGGCGACCACGTTGTTGGCACCCACGACGACAGACGCGGCGGCGGCCGCCGCAGGCGGAGAGGCACGCCAGGCAGGAGGCAGCGCGGCCGCCTCGCCCCGCCAATGGAGAGGGCGGGTCGGCAGGCAGTTCGGAGGAGCCTTTTTCGGGCGATGCCGCGATTGGGGGAGGAAGGTCCCGCCAGTCGCGTCGAAGGAGAGTGGGATCAGTTGAAGCAGGAGGAGGTGGAGGCAGGGGCGGAGGAGTAACGGGCGGGCCTTGACTCTGGGAGCAGGGGTGGGGGCGGAGGCGGGAGCGGGGATAGCGGAGGAGAGGGGGGCCCAGAGCAGGAAGGACGGGGATCGGCCGAGGCCGTGGACCTTAGTGAGTGTCAGTACCAGGCTTGCGTGTGTTCTGTTCGCAGCGGCCGCGAGGTCGGGCCAGTGCTTGAGCATTTCATGCGCCTCTTGGCTCACCAAGTGGCATTGCGCGCATGCCTTTGCAGCGGGTAGATCAGCAAGCATGTGGAGTGTTCGGTCCTGCGCGCCCTGCAATGTGATGCGTAATGTTGTTCATCATTCACCCGCCTCCGTGTCACCATCGTCGTCCCAAACCTCACCTTCCTGCTTCTGTCCAATCTGCTGTTGCTGTTCCTCCTCCTCCCCCTCCTCCTCCACCTCCTCCTCCTCCTGTTCGCCCATCTCCTCCTCCGCCTTGACCTCCCCCTCCTCCTCCCAATGTGCCCTCTCCTCATTAATATCCGGTTTGCTCGTCCCTATCATCCTCCAGTTGCTCGTCGCCCTCTTCGTGCCTCGTCCACATTCCTCTCCCCCTGGCTTGCTTCGGCCCGCCAGAATACGCTGCGGGCGTGGGGGTGGGTGGGGGAAACATGCCTCCTTTCCTGCCCGGCTCTGGCTGAGGCCCTTGCTCAAAACCGGCACCCGGACCTCTCCTCGGGCATGGGCGTTGCCCATGGGAGTTCAGCCGTGGCCACGAGGGCGCCCCCAGAGGCTAGCAAGGGCCACCCAGAAAGTCCCAAATCCTGGAAGCCTCGCTTCTCAATCCTCCTCCTCCTCCTCCTCCTCCTCCTCCTCCTCCTCCTCCTCCTCCTCCTCCTCCTCCTCCTCCTCCTCCTCCTCCTCCTCCTCATCGTCCATCATCAGCATCAGCATCAGCATCAGCAGCAGCAGCAGCAGCAGCATCATCATCATCATCATCATCATCATCATCATCATCATCATCATCATCAGCCTCCCCCTCCTCCTCCTCCTCTCCTTCCTCCTCCCCCTCCCTTCATCCTCCCAACCCCCCGTTGCAGCAGATTCCCGAGCACCCAGCCCTTGCACTTGCCACTTCCCCCTCCCTCGCTCCTTGATTGCTGCAAATGTCCCCAGATCAGGGCAAGAATAGCACGGTCGTCCTTGTCGTGTTGGTTTGCCTGTCCCCCTCCCCCTTCCTCCCACCCCTTCGGTCCGTCTCCTTCCGCTCTGAGCTCGTGCATGCTGCTGCTTTCTTTACCCCACCAAGCCAAATACCCGTTGCACCCGCCGTACGCGATTAGTATTTCCGCTGCCTCCTTCTGGTGTGTCTGGTCTGGTCGGTTCTGCCGACATCGTCGGTGCCCCGTGCCCTCCCAGCGCCACCGATACGATTCAGGATGAATTCGAATTGGCATACGGTCTCTCTCATGGTGATCTTTTACCACAGCAATCGCAGCGTAAAATTGCACAAACATAATGGTAGGAGGTCCGCGCGGATTTCTCGGATCTGCGCTGGACCCCCCTGGCAGCGCTCCGCGCGCCAGGGAGGCGGGCCAGCGCCGCTCCCAGACATCCGCGCGGAGTTCCGAACGAGCTCTTGATGGTGGTTGTTCCTTATCCCCCCCTTCTTTTTGAAAGTTGCGGTGTAGGCAGTGTAAGTTGGCCCCAGCTCCGCCTCTAAGTGTTGACATTGTTGTCGCAAGTTGGTCGATTATATAATCCGAATGCTGGCCACGCTCGCAGGACAGCCCTTCTACATGTGGCTGAACGCTTCACTTCTGTAAAGTGGTGTGACGCAGCTCAGTGGTTTCACGAGTGTGTCGCTGAATATGTCATCCTGCCGTGTCCAGCCCCATCCTCCCCTCCAACGGTTGCGCTATGAGCATAACAAAAGTCGTGCGCCCCCTTCCCGAGGCCACCGAAGGGAGGAGGCCACCCGGCAGCCTAGCGCCTCCTCCCTCCCCCCACTCCCGCCCACCATCGGGGCACCCCCGTCAGAACTCGGAGCACCTGCTGGCGGGGCTGGACGTGGAGATCCGGAAGGCGCGGCGACCACGTTTTCTCAGGGCCCCAGAAACCAGGATTGTCCAAAGCAGGACTCTGCGAGATCCAGCTGGAGAGACCAAAGAACGGAGAATGTTTCGACCGGCTGCAGCCCCCGCAGGCATGCAAAGTCATTGTGTATTGAAGTCCCGGTTTACGTGGCCCTGACTCTGTTGATCTTCCTCCTCCTCGTTTCTTCCCTCGCGCCCTGTTCCCCTTCTGAATGTGTCCCTCCTCCTCAGCTCTCCCTTGTCTCTCTTATGGGCAGTGCTCCTCCTCCACCACCTCCTCCTCCAACTCCCGAGGCTTGTGCAGTGGCACAGCGGACGCGGACAGAGGGCCGACAGCTCGATCGATCGATCCTTCCCGTCCTCCTCAAGAGAAATCAGAATTGTCAGAGGTCCTCACAGATCTCTCGGGTCGGCGCTGGACCCGCTGCCCCGCCACCCCCAGCCTGCGCTCCCGCGCGCCGCCCCCTGGCGCGGCTCCATGCGGCGCGCCCCGCGAATCGACGCCCCCAGAGGCCTCCGCGGAGAGGCCCCGGGAGCGGAAAAGAGCACCCAGCGACTTCCAAAAGCACACGGCAACTTCTTTGAACGTCCAGCGGCGCCCCGGCAAAAAGCAGAAGACGGCCGGTCTGCTTCCACGTTTACCGCCTGGAGGCCGGTCTGGGGGCCTCGGGGCCGCGAAAAAACAGCTCTCGGCAGATTCACAATTTGTCATGGGGAAGAAGTCGAGAGGTCCTGGGGGCCACACATCGAACAAGATCGAAAGCGCCCGATGGTTGGGTCCAAGCCTACTCCTCGGGGGCACAGGGCGAAGACCCAGAAGATCGCGAACCAATTACTCATGAGAGAAGTGCGACAACCCCCTGTTTACAAACAAGCACCATTGGGGGAATAACCTCCCTCCTAGCTCCTCGGGATGGCACGGGGCGGCACCAGGCGAAGACCCTGAAGACCGCCATCCGATGACAGTCGAGTCGCGTAGTGAGGATGAGCAATGTTCCAAGGCTACCCTTGCATCCTTGCCCCTTCGGCCCATCCTTGGCGACTTTCCGCTGGCCAGCCCCGCTCGAAAACGCCAACATGGCCTTCCAAGGCCCTTGCAACCTTATCGTGTATCCTTCTTGTGCGCTTCGACTGCACTCAGGAGAGAAGTGTGAGAATCTTGTATGTGCAAGCGCTTTGGGGGGGCATTCTTCCGGTGCCTCGATCCTTTCGATGCGTTGGCCTCCAGACCTCTCTGGGGCACGCTGTTCATCCTGGACCGTTTTTTTTTTCCTGGCGGCCCCGAGGCCCGAAGGTCGCTCCCCAGGGACGAGACTGGCGACAGACCGGTCGCCACGATCTGTTCGAGGCGGGAGGAGGAGGGAAAGAAGGAGGAGGAGGAGCTAGGAGAGAAAGGTTCGAGGAGGAGAGGGGGGATGAGGAGGAGGAGGAGGAGGAGGAGGAGGAGGAGGGGGAGGAGGATCAGGAGGAGAAGAGGAGGAGGAGGAGGAGGAGGAGGAGGAGGAGCCGGATGCCCAGATGTTTGGTTCTTCTCTCCTCGGGGGTGCCAGGAGCAGCGACAGGGGGAAAGCGGCCCCCGATCGGCCACTCGTCGCCAAGCCAAGGCTGGGCCCGTCCAGGAGCGCGCGGCGTCGCAGTCGAAGGCCTGTCGCCGATCTGTCGGCGATGCATCGCCGATTCCAGGTAGATGCTTCGCCCCCTGAGCCAGCCCCCCCCCGGGGGCCACGGGGAGGAGGAGGGGGGCATCTGTCGGCGATGTATCGCCGATTCCAGGTAGATACTTCGCCCCCTGAGCCAGCACCCCCCCCCGTGGCCACGGGGAGGAGGAGGAGGGGGGGGGCGGCGGAGGGGGCAAAACTCGGCGCCGCCGCGGGGGGCCGCCGCCGCGGCCCCCCCCCGCACAGGGAGGGGCCGCCGCCCGCCGCCAGGCCCGGGAGACCCTACAGGCGTCGCAGCGGCAGCGCTTCCAGACCGAGGTGCGGCGGCGGCCCCACGGCGCGGCTGTGGCGGCCGCCCAGACGGCGAGCGTAGAGGAAAAGTCAGGGCGGGGACGAAGGCCCCGAGTTCGTCCCTCGAGATTTTAGAGCTTCCTCGTGGGTCCACGGGAGGCCTCCCAGCCTCAGGGTGCCTTCCTGCAGCCGCGCCTCGCCGAGAGCGTTCTGGGGCGCGCGAGAGCTCAAGGCGGAGTTCTTACGCAGTGCTCGGCCTCTGCGGTCCCTCGCCTGGCCCCAGGGCCGTCAAGAAGCGGCTTGGGGGTGGAGAGCCGGCCCTGTGGAAGTGATGGGGGCTCCCAGTGAAAGAGTCGGGGCGTTGGGGACTGGGCGGCGCTCCCGCCCAGACACCCGGCGCCACGAGAGAGTCGGGGCTTCCGCCCGCTGCTTCGCGGTTCTGGGCCTCTGGAGGCCAGCTTCGGGCCCACAGGGGACCGTGCAAAATCAGCTGCGGGTGAAAAGCCAGGCTCGGGGAGGGAGCCGTCGGGCAGGCCCAGGATTAGGACAAGTCTTCAGTCGGGCGTGTCCCCCTACAGGGGGATTTGGGGCACAAATAAGAAATATTCAACAAATACCCCCAATTGGGCAAAGATAGTCAAACATCGTCCCCTGATCATTTTTTCACTATTTTGGAATGTTCCCCCTGTAGAGGGACAAGCCCGACTTAAGACAAGTCGTTCCAAGGCGCTCTGGAAAGCTCTCGGAGCATTCCGGAGCGCCCTGGAGCAGCCGGGGCGCCCGAGGAATCTGTCCTCCGGGCCCGCCGGGCTCTCTGAGATTCCCGACTCATCCTCGTCCGAATTCGTCCTCGTCTTGCCCCAGCCCTATCCAGAGGCGAGCCGTCGGGCCAGATGTTTTGCTTCCTTTTGAGCATCTGAGGGGTATTCTCGGGTACTTCTAATTTTTCGCCCAAAAGCTCCCCGTAGGGGGACAGGCCCGACCTCAGGCCAGCCGTCGGGCACGCCTGCGACGTCAGCATGCGTGTGTTTTTCAACCAGTGGCCTCCTAGGTCTTGACCCTTTCCCCGAGACCGACGTTCCGTCCACGGTCGCTTTTTGGCGGCCCCGGTCCCCAAATTTCGATTCCGATTGCGATCCGATCCGATCCGAACCGATCCCATCTCCGGCCTGCAGGGGACCAGCCCGATCCGCGATCCGAAACGATCCAGTCCCGACTCGATTCCGCGCCGATTCGGGCGCGAGCTGAGCCAGTTCCGATCAGGTAGTGAAGGGCCCCCATGAGGCCAAAAATTGTAAAGAGCTTTCTGCCGCGAGCTTTGTCGCGGCGCGAGCGGGTCTGGGGACGACGACGACGACGATGACGACGACGATGACGACAGCGACGACGACGACGACGACGACGACGACGACGACGACAGCGACGACGACGACGACAGCGACAGCGACAGCGACAGCGACAGCGACAGCGACAGCGACAGCTACAGCGACGACGACGGCGACGGCGATGTCGTCAGCCGCCTCCCCCAGACCTCAGGAGGAGGAGGACGAGGAGGAGGAGGAAGAGGAGGAGGAGGAGGAGGAGGAGGAGGAGCAGTTGGAGGAGCAGGAGGAGGAGAAGGAGGAGGAGAAGGAGGCGGAGGAGGAGGTGGTCTGCTACCAGGTGTGAGGCCTGGAGACAGGTCGGGCCTCGGTAATGCGCCTGATGGCCTGGCCCCCTGGCCCAGGGTTCCGTGCGGCGCCGCTGGTTGTTACTTTCTAGGTCGGAGCCCGGAGGAGGATGGAGGAGGAGGAGGAGGCGGAGGAGGAGGCGGAGGAGGAGGACAGAATGGGAGGACTGAGGAGGCGGACGGAAGATGCGGACAGAGGAGTAGGAGGAGGACGAGGAGAGGATGGCTGGACGAGAGCGGAGGAGGACGAAGAAGACGGAGGAGAACGGAGAAGGACGGAGGAGGAGGAGGAAGAGGCAGAGGAGGAGGAGGAGGAGGCTTGAGTCCCTCCACCCCCCGCGCGCTCCGAGGGAGAGAACATGCGGCTGGTGGAGGACATCAGTGCAGAGCTGGAGGGGCTGCTGCGGCAGGAGAACAGCCAGCGCGAGGCGATGGCCGCCTGTGGCAGCCCCGATGTCGACGACGACGACGACGCCGACGCCGATGCCGACGATACCCGAAGACGTCGGCGGCGGCCCAGTTCCATTGCAGGATTGGGGCGGTGGTTGAAGCATTATTTTTTCCACTACTGAACGGGAGGTCCGTGTCGCCTCGACGCGGCGGCGGCGGCCCCCACGCGGGCGTTCAGGGTTGAACGCCGCAAGTGGCTCGGAGCTGGAGGATATGGCACGATCTGCATTTTTTGATCGGAAGGCCGCGATCGCTCACGGTTGAACGATCCACGCGGTGTCTGGAACCAACGCAGAAGGCGTCACGACACGCACCCCGCCCCTCCCAAGCTCCTGGCACGCGCCACGCGCGAGCACGCAGCAGCTCACAGCCCGCACTCCGAAATTGTGGGGCCGGGCGGGCGGTGCGAGAGGAGGGAGGGGAGTACAGGCCTTCTCGGAGGACGGCGCGGGGTCGATTCGGGGCATGAGTGGCGGCCGATAGGGGTTCGAGCTGCAAGGCGTCCGCGTGGATTCCTTGGATCAGCGCTGGGACCCTCTTCTTGGCACGCGGAGCGCGCCAGCGCCGATCCAAACCTCCAAAAGGTTCTCTTTGAGCAGCTCCTCTCTGCTTCCCCAAACTGTGCTTGCAATTAGGGTGGTTACTTGGCTCACTAAGGAATTCTTTAATGTGTTTATGGTTATTCACCACATTGTCGCCCGCTGCTGCCGCGGGGAGTATGTCGAGGACTCGCCACATTGCCGCCCGTTGCCACCCCGTGGGGTATGTCGAGGACTCGCCACGTCGCCGCCTCGATGTCGCCTCGGACTGCATGTCGAGGATTCGCCACTCTGCCGCCCGTTGCCCGTTGCCGCCTCGGAGGTACGTCCAGGATTCGCCATGTTGACGCCCGTTGTCGCCTGTTGCCGCCCGTTGCCGCCTCAGGTGGTACGTCGAAGATTCCCCACGCTGCCGCCCGCTGCCGCCTCGCTGCCTCATACCACATGGGTTGCATTTCGAAAGTGCATGAATTCACTGTTTGAGATCCACGCTGGCAAACACTAGACATACATATTGAGGGTGGGGGGAGATGAGGAGACGCAGGAGTAGTGCTTGTCTGGGGTGGGTTGGGTCCTTGATGTCTGCGGTGTTCTGCGAGGTTCGAAGGAGCTGGATGGAGGCAGGAAAGGGGAAGAGGGGGGGGAGGGAGACGGACGAGAGAGGACGAGGGGAGGAAGAGGGAAAATGGCGAGGTTCTGGAGTGGGTCCTGGAGATGTGTGGGCGGGGATCTTAGAGGCTCCCAAAGAGGAGAAGGAGGCGGCGGCGGCACGGTGAGGGTGGAACAGAGAGGAGGGAGGAACAGGCAGGAGGAGGAGTGATGGATCGAGGAGGGTACTAGGAGAAGAGGGGGAAGAGGACCAGAGTAAACCCAAGACGAATACACGATGCTGCACTACGCCCAACCCGGGTCCCCTCATCAGTCCCTACAGGTGTTCTGTCACACTGCGAAAAGCACCCCCCCCTTGAAAGACGAGCGCCCCACATTTGGGCGGGAACGTTGACCACTCTCCATCGTTCGAGTTGTAAGGAGTTCAGAGATGCGACGAGGTGGGTTTCCAAAGTCCCAGGAAGTTCCCAAGAACCGCTACACAATGAAGAGGGAGCGCCCTGCACACGTGCATCTGTTGCCCTCAATCTCCTACAATGATATGGCGAGGTCTCGGGCGGTACCCTCACATGTGAGAACAACATTTGTTCTATACAAAAAACCTCCGTCCGCGTAACCGTTGTCGTTGCACATGTGGTGGCCTGCTGTAAAATAAACCAGACAATAACCCGAGTACTAACATGGTGCCCGACATACGTCCGTGTACCTGCTTGAATTCTCCAAGACGAATGTACGCGGCGACCCGGCGAGAACCATATTTTGAGAGCGACCGACCATCCTTCCGTGTATTTTTGAATTTGCTCAGCTTATGGGGTAATACATGCAGAGAGGTCTCGAGCGAAACGCCCGGCCCAGACTGCGGGCATTCCTGGCAGTGCGGCAGGGAAAGGATGGAGGAGCAGGAGCGGGAGAGGATGACTGACGAGAGGAGAGGGAGGAGGGGGCGAGGGGATCAGAGGCGACGATGGGGGCGAATAGCCCAGGGGAGAGCAATACGTGTATCCAGGGGCGCCGGTGATCCATGTCTTCGACAGGGCTCTCGGGCGCATGCGCGGAATGCCCGCCCCTGGGCCATTCGCCCCTATCGTCGCCGCCGAGGGAAGGGGGAGGCCCGAGCGAGGACGGGAGCCAGCAGGGAGGCGGGTGCACGGCGGCGGCGCGGGCCAGAGCCAGGCCGTCCAGGGGAAGCTGCTGAGCCTGCTGGAGGCGGGTCGGGGGGGGAAGCAGGCTCGTTGACGAGGTCGAGGGGGAGGAGGACGCGGACGAGGACGGGGACGGGGACGGGGACGAGGACGGGGGAGGGAGGCGGAGTGGAAGGAGCAGGAGGAGGAGGACGTGGATGGCGAGGTGCAGCCAGCGGTGGGCCTCGATCAGGGCGCTGCGGAGAAGTGCACAGTGCAGTCGGGCGACCGGCTCCGATCAGCAGGGATTGCGTAGTGGCGTCGTTCTGCATGTGCGATGTCGTTGGCCGTTTGGGCTTCGGGGGGTGCTGGCACGCATGGCGCCCAGTTCCTCGTTCGGGCCATTATTGCGGATTCTGCTCGGCAGCCTTTTGGTTCGCATCGTGGTTGAGGTCGGATGGTGTGGAGGTCTCTAGTCTCGGAAGAGCTAAAACCACAATCCGATTCCACCAGTGTGCACGAATGCGCCAGGCACGTTGCGTGCGGGTTGCTGACGGGGCGCAGCTGTGTCGCGTTGGAGTCGCGGACATGTTTGAAGGGCCAGCCTCCAAATGGAGTCGTTGTTTCATCCAATTTGCGAAAGCGGCAGGCAGGTTGCTGGCGGGTCACAGGTTGGCCGCGGGAGCTGACGAATTTCATAACGTCAATGCGGCAGGCACGAATGGTCGCATGTGGGTTGCGATGGGCGGCCCTGCCCTACGCGCAGATATCTCACACCGGGCACGTACGTAGACGCGCGCGGTAATCAATGTGAGGGCATGTCGAAGCGCGGGTCGCCGGCGCCAGCCGCGGGCGCGGGTCGCGGGAGCGGACTGCGGGCGCGATTCGCGCACACAGGTCGCGACCCTGGGTCGTGGGTGCAGGTGCGGCTCGGAGGCGAGTCGTTGGCGCGGATCGTGGGGCCGCGATGTAGACAGGGTGTGGCGCAGCGACAGTGAGAGCACACGTGCTGCACCGTGGAGCCGGAACCATATTTCAGCCGCGCACCACACACCGGAATGTAAGTCCATTCTTCCCCCCCTCATTCTGATAGGAGTGATTAATCTTCCCTTGGCCACTCGCCCCAAACCTTGTCTTCGACCAGCGCAGGATTCTGAAGAGTTTTTGCTCTCTTCGTATTGGGGTCTGCATAGGTTTTGTTGATTGCGTTTTGCCGTGTCTCTTTTCTCTTCCACCTCTACATTGATTACTGATGTCGCAATGCCCCTCCCCTTCTTCTCACTCCAGAGCGCGAAGAAGAGGCCTTGCACATGCAAGCGTAATTTGAGGTTTCGCGTTCGGCGCACATAAACGCATGCGTGTGTTGAGTCTATCGTTGACGATGGCTTGCAGTCTGCAGTCTGCCATTCACGTTCCCGCACACTTGCGCACCTCCACGTTTTGCATCCATCATGCTCAACCACGCGCGGGCACAGCAGAATGTCACGGCAGTTAGTTGCGGTTCACGAAGTCGTCCTCTCCAGAGTGCGTGTGGTACGACACCCGCTGGCCCCGCTGGCTCCACAATCACTCGCAACGTTGGCGCCCGTGCAGCGTGAGCAACGTTCACGCACGCATTAGTATGTGTATGTGTGTATACATACTCATCTGCACTGTTACTCAAGTCGCATATGCCATTCCGCCGACCTCCACAAGGAGTGAGTGTTTGAGATGATCGTGAAGTTATCTCTTGGGTCAGGAGCCTCCTGGATGAATATGAGGGTCTCTTGGGATGCCTCTCTGGGGCCTCTTGGAGAACTCTTGGGGGCATGTGGGAGGCTTTCGGGGGCCTCGTGGGAGCCTCCGGGGGGGTTCTCGGGGGCGTCTTGGGGGGCTCTTTGGGCCTCTTCGAGAGCCCTCAGGGCCTCTGGGGGACTCGAGGGGCCATCATCTCGGTGGACGAGGCTCGAAATGTCAGTTCGTATTCCCCCTCCTAGGCTTTCTTCGAGCCCTGTTGGAGCCCTCCAGGGGCTGTATTGGACCGTCTTGGGGGTCCCCTGAGGCTGTCTTTGGGCCCTCATTGGGCCGTCTTGGGGCCTTCTTGGAGGCATCATCGGCCGTTTTGGGACGATCTTGGGGGCCACTTGGACTGTCGTGTTCGCTGTCAAAACGTAAAATGCGAGCGTGCTGAAAATGTACGTTGTTCCCCGGGAATGGGATGATTTTGGCCTCTCTTGGGGCCCTCTCTGCGATCCTCTGAGGGCGATTTGGGGCCGTCTTGAGGGCCTCGTGGGCCATCTTGAAGCCATCTTGGATCGTCTTGGGGCTACCCTGGGCCATTATGGCGCTCTATTCGACTGTCTTGGCGCTATATCTGGGCCCTGTTGAGCTGTCTTGGGGCTTTTTAGGGGCTCCGGAGGCCCTGGAGGTGCGTTGACGAGCTCGTTACCCTCCCCCGAGAATGTCATTATGGACCCGTGGGCAGGGAGAAAGCCAAATGTTTTACACGCCTTTCCACCCCCGGCAAGCGAGGGTCGGTGGATCAGAGAAGTGTGCGTATGGCTCGAAGTGTACGTGTTTCGCGCGTGTTCGTGTGTATGAGTGTGCGTGTCACAGGAGGGCCCGTGAGCCGAGTTCGGGACTACGTCAATCACCAGTGTGTGTCATTTGCAGTGTTGCAGCATGTGTGTTGAAAGGATGGGGGCGGGGTATGGGAGGAGATCTGCAGCCGCATCGAGGCGCGGCGATGATTTGCAGTCCGCATCCGTAGCTCGTGCCAACGGCGCGACATGTCTGATCGTGTCGAGCCCAATCTAGCAGTCCCCCTGCTTGGCATCGCTCGGACTTGTGCATGTTTCCTTCGGCGAGGACCCTCGAGGAGCATCCTTGATCATTTGGCGAACAAAGCCACGCACGAAACCGACAAAAACACAGGGAATGGACGTCCGAGCGATGGCCAGCATGTCGCCGAGAGTTGCCATGGGCCATGGACAGTATCTATGTTCCATGCGTTTGGGATATGGCGCTGGTTCGGCTTCCCAGTGCAGCCTTCATCGCAGCGAGCGTCCCATCACATGGCTTCCAAGAGCTTTGCCCCTGGGTGGACTTCTTCTTCTTCAGCCCACACCAGAGAGATCGCAAGCTGGAGGGCCAGCAAATCTTCACACCTTGCCCCTTGGCCAATAGCAATCACCACTCATACCCGCCAAGAGCGGTATGCGCAAGCATTTTGGCGCGATGGCGGGTGATAGGAGTAGAGTTTTCACAGATGCGATTTGACAGACCGTGTCGTGCGCTGCGCAGCTCAGTCTCTAGGTACATTCCAGGGGCGTCGTTGTCTCATCGGCTTTGACAGCAGAGCTTCCTTCATGGAAAAGCGATGGTTGTCCTCAAGGGTGAACGACATCTAGCTGGCTGTGATGACGATTGCAATTCACAATTGGATTTATCGTACCACTGGACCCCAACTCCCTCTCTGCATTGTGGATCTTATCGCTGTGGCCCCCGCCACAACCCCTCCTCCCTCGTCCCTTCCACCATTCCTTATCAGAGGAGGGGCGGAGGAGGAAGGAGGAAGGAGGAAGGAGGAGGAGGGTTGCAGGAGGAGGAGGAGGAGGGAGGAAGGAGGAGGAGGAAGGAGGAGGAAGGAGGAGGAGAGGAGGAAGGAGGAAGGAGGAGGAGAGGAAGGAGGAGGGGCGGAGGAGGAAGGAGGAGGAGAAAGGAGGAAGGGAGGAGGAGAGGAAGGAGGTTTTTGGAAGGGCAGGGAGGCGGCGGGGATCTCAGAAGGCGGAAGGGCCACGGCGGGCGGGGGCCGAGCGCCCTACACTGACACACTTCATCGGCATGCTTCCTCTTCCTCCTCCTCCTCCTCCTCCTCCTCCTCCTCCTCCTTCTCCTCCTCCTCCTCCTCCTCCTCCTCCTCCTCCTCTCCTCCTCCTCCTCCTCCTCCTCCTCCTCCTCCTCCTCTCCTCCTCCTCCTCCTCCTCCTCCTCCTCCTCCTCCTCCTCTTCCTCTTCCTCCTCCTCCTCCTCCTCCTCCTCCTGCTCCTCCCCTTCTCCTCCTCCTCCTCCTCCTCCTCCTCCTCGTCCTCCTCCTATCCTTGCATTTCATCGCCCTACATTGGCTTGATCGGGGTTCCATAGGGGAGGGGGGGGGGGCTTACGGTCCAGCCCTCCCTCGTCCCAGGGGTCCGCGAGTTCTGGCGACGTGCACGGCAGGCCTCGCAGCCAGTGCCGGCAGACAGACAGACACGCCGTCGACAGCGCGGCCGAGCGCGGCCGACGCAACGCCTTCATTTACGGGGCTCGGGTTTTGAGGGAGAGGAGGGGAGGAGAGGAGAGGGGAGGCGAGGAGGAGGAGGGGAGGGCAGGGGAAAGGAGGACGAAAGGGGAGGAGGAAGAGGGAGGAGAGGAAAGGGCAGGTGAAGGGGAGCGGAGGGGAGGGAGGGGAGGGGGGGCAGGGGCTCCCTTCGTCATCCTCCTCCGCTCAGTTTTTGCCAACGCCTGCGCACTGCAATTTGCCTGCCGTGCCCACCCGTTGTGGTTGACCCCTTCGCTCCGATCCCTCCCCCGCCGTGCAGAATTCTTTTTGCGGCGGCCAAGCAGATCTGCCGGGCCTGCGGCAGATGCGGAGGCCCTCATTGCACGCCCTCGTTGCCGGCCGCCCTCTTCACTTCAGCAGGAGGTGGCCGGAGCAGGGGGAGGAGAGAGGCGTAGGGGGAAGAGTAGGAGGAAGAAGGGAGGACGAAAACCGATAAGGGAGAACGTGGTAGGAGGAGGGCGAGGAGGAGGAAGACAAGGAGGAAAGGGAGAACCGACGAGGGGGAAGGAGGAGGATAGCGGCGACGACATATGACAAGGCCTCCCGAGCTTGGACAGCACCTGAGCCTCACACTACAACAGTTGACGATCTCAAACCTGTAGTAATGTGTGATAGCGTGTTTTGCAGACTCCTTATGTCAGTTGTCGGCGGACACCCCGCCTCGTCAGCGAGGCTCCGCCTTCGTGGGGCTGTGATGGGGGACAGGCTTCGCCAACTATTTGGGGGGGGCTGCAAACTGCCTCCCGCTGACTTAGCAAAGCCAGACATCATGCAAGCAGCCAAGCTTGTGGGAAGAGTGGGCGCGAAGGTACGCGGGGTGGCCCATGACTAATGCACGACTAGCATCCACCCGCGCTCCGACGCATCGTCCAGGGTTGAGCTCAGACAGCTTGCCCCTCAAGGCGGGGAATGTGCGGTCACATATCCGTCAGCGAAAAAATCCGCCGACCTGGCAAGGCTAATGCCCCATCTCACGAAGTCGCTGGCGGCGTACGATATCCACTGGCAGCGCGCGCGGCCGCTGAGGGGGCCATGTTCCGTTGGCACGCCAAAGTCAATTTACGATTAACTTCGAGCAAACGAGACAGATGTGCGAGTTTCTGAGATACACAACGGCGACAATTCTAGCGTACTCAGGGGTTACGTCCCTATAGGCGGCCGCCACTCCAGCACAATTCAATAACCATCAGAAATGTTCAACATGCGCTCCTTCTCACAGAGGCCCCACGCCGATCGAATGGGCCCGGCCACATGGCCGCTGGTCCACAAGAACACCAGACGCCCCAATCGGGCAACGATGCAGCAAAGGAGGGCTGCGTTCTGCTGGTCACCTCACTTCACGAGACGGGTCTGCATCTGCCAGAAAGCATTGAAAACCAATTGTCCTTCCAAACCAACGCCGAGATGATGTCTGGCAGCTTTCCCCCAAACTTGCTTCGAAACTTTCTCCTGGACACAGTATTCCAGATTGCACATGAGATCAGGAATCTGAGTACGTGATACTGTGGTGACTTATCTGGTGGGCGAGTCAGGATCCAGACCCAAGTCGAATCTGGGCCCACGCCCGTTCGACACCATGCCCAAGACCTGGGCACAGAGTGGGGAAGAAGGAGCAGGATGGAGGATGAATCAGGAGGGGGGGATGGCGACACGGGAGCACGATCGGGACGGAGGAGGAGGAAGAGGGGGAGGACAGATGAGGAGTAAGAGGAGGAGGGAGAGGATGGGAGGATTGAGGACGGAGGATACGGCGAAGAAGGAAGGGTGAGGAGAAGGGAGAAGAGAGCAAGAGGGCAGGATATGCGCCCGGTAGAGGGTGATGATGAGGGGAGAGGGAGGGGGATGGATTGGAGGAGGAAAAGGGCGAGAACGAAAGAGAGGAGGGAAGGGGAGAGAGACGGACGGAGGGAGAGCAGAAGGGAAGTTCTGAGAGGAGGAGGTGAGGGAGCGAGGGAGGTGGAAGAATCAGGGTGAGGGAGCGTGGGCTTGAAAAAGGTGGGAGCTGCAAAGCCAGAACTGCAAACAAAATTTAGGGTGGGGGACTCGTGGGGTTCAGGACACAGCCTTCACTTCAGAAAGAGCGCGTTCTGTGGTCGCTTGGAAGGGGGGGGGGATTGGAACCGCCCCCCCCCCGGATTGAGGGGGGGGGGGTCCAACCCCTCCCCTCCCCCCTTCTCTTCCGTGACGGACGAGGGGGGGAGGTTCAACCCCCCCCCACTCGCTCCTCCCTTGCTCCTCCTCTTTCCCTCTCCTCGGGCTGACGCCGGTGTCTCCGATGCAGCGTGCCGCGGTGGCGGCCCGCGTAAGCCGCCGCGTGAGGTCGCTGTGCCATCTCGCGTGAGACCTGTTTTTGATCGTCGCTCGTGTGGGCTTCGAGCCCCTCCGCTGGGCTTCTGAGGGGCATGTGTGAAGCCTCCTGGGCGCCTCTTAGGCTTCTCTCGGGGCCTCTCTGAGGTGGTGGTGGTGGTGGTGGTGGTGGTGGTGGTGGTGGTGGTGGTGGTGGTGGTGGTGGTGGTGGTGGTGGTGGGTTGTGGTGGTGGTGGTGGCGGTGGTGGTGGTGGTGAGGTGTTTGTGGTGGTGAGGTGGTTGTTGTTGTTGGTGGTGGTGGTGGTTGTGGTAGTTGATGTGGTGGCGGTGGTGGTTGTGGTGGTGGTGTGGTGGTTTGTTGTGGTGGTGGTAGTTGTGGAAGTGGGATGTGGTGGTGGTGGTGGTGGTGTGGTGATTTGTCGTGGTGGTTATGGTGGTGGTAGTGGTTGTGCCGCGAAGTGGTTTGTAGTGGGGGTGGTGGTGGAGGGTTGTGGTGGTGGTTGTGGTGGCGGTGGTGGTGTGGTGTTTTGTTGTGGTGGTGGCGATTGTGGTGGTTGTGGTGGTGGTGGTGGTGGGGTGGTTTGTGGTGGTGGTGGTGGTGGGTTGTGGTGGTGGTGGTGGCGGAGGTGGTGGTGGTTGTGGTCTGGGAGTTTGTGGTGGTGGTGGTTGTGGCGGTGGTGGTGGGGGTGGTGGCAGGTTGTTGTGGAGGTGGTGGTTGTGGCGGTGGTGGTAGTGGTGGTGGTGGTAATGTGGTGGTTTGTGGTGCTTGTGGTGGTGTGGTGGTTTGGAGGTTTGTGGTGGTGGTGGGTTGTAATGGTGATAGTGGTGGTGGTGGTTGTGGAGGTGGTGGTGGTGGTGGTGGTGGTGGTGGTGGTGGTGGTGGTTGGTGTGGGTGGGTTGCTGTGGTTGTGGTAGTGGTGGTGGGTTGTTGTTGCGGTGGTGGTGGTTGTGGTGGGTTGTTGTGGTGGTGGTGGTGGTGGTGGCTGTGGTTGTGGTGGTTGTAGTGGTGGTGGTGGTTGGTCATGGTGGTGGTGGTGGTAATGGTGGTGGTGGTGGCGTGGTGGTTTGTGGTGGTCGTGGTGGTGGTGGGTTGTAGGTGGTGGTGGTGGTGGTGGCGGTGGTGGTTGTGGTGGTGGTGGTGTGGTGGTTTGTGGTGGTGGTGGTGGTGTTGGGTTGTGGTGGTGCGTTGTGGTGACGGTGGTGGTGGTGGTGGTGGTGGTGGTGGTGGTGGAAGGGTGGTGGTGGTGGTGGTGGTGGTGGTGGTGGTGGTGGTGGTGGTGGTGGTGGTGTGGTGGTTTGTGTTTGTGGTGGTGGTTGTGGTGGCTGTGGTGGGTAGTGGTGAGTTGTGGTGGTGGTGGTGGCGGTTGTGGTGGTGGTGGTGTGCGGTGGTTTGCGGTGGTGGGGGTTGTGGTGGTGGTGGGTTGTGGTGGTTGTGTTTTGGTGGTGGTGGCGGTGGTGGTGGTTGTGTGGTGGTTTGGTGGTGGTGGTGGTGGTTTGGCCTTCGGGTGTTCCCGTCACCGTGTCTTGGCTTTGGGTTGTAGTTCTAATGGGTGCCTCTGGGGGTCTCGTCAGAGGGGTCTCGGGGGCGTCTTAGGAGCATGTGTGAGGGCTCCTGGGCGCCTCTTGGGCGTCTCTGGCAAAGGGCTTTTGGGAAGCAAAGGCTCGATATGGCAAATTGTATTTTCCCGTGGCGGCTTCTGTGCTATCTCTGGTCGTCGTCGCTGCGGTGCGGCTGCCGTTGGTGCTGCCGGCCGCCGCCAGCGCAGGCGCCAGAACCGGCACCGAGGAGAGAGACGAGGGGGGGTGGGGGGTTCAACCCCCCCTCCCCCCGGGAAGCCAGAAGAGAGAAAAGATTGGGGGAGTAAGGATATCCTGCTCCTCTCCCAGGGGTGGGTGGGTTAGTGGGGAGGTCAGACCCTCTGGTTCTGATCGACGGCGCCGAGTGTTGGCGGGGGGGCCCCCCGTTCGAAACACGCCGCCGAATGTTCCCAAGGCAAGCGCCCGTGAAGCGCGCTTTCTCCCACCTCAAGACCCCCGTCTGCGTCACGAAACTACTCTCCCCTTCTTCCCTGTCTTCCTCCTCTTCGCTGTCCCCGTCAACACCAGGTTCCGACACGGTGCGCTCAAAAAGTTGATGTTGCATCTTCACGTGAATGTGGCCATGTGCCCCCAGACGAGAAAACGCGCCGTCTCCATCGCGAAGCCAGCGGGATCTCGCAGCAATAAGTGCACGCGCCTACGTGCCCGCCGAGCAGTCGTGACCGTGCATCTGCACTTCCCAAGACGAGCCGGCACACAGAACGTACGAGTTGCCAAAGCTAGCGCCCCGAAGGCGTACAGAGCGCAGGCCCTCTTGCAGGGCGTCTTGCGCACATTGTGCCTCATAGGTTGATTGTTGGTCCGTGATTTGTTTTGCTCCCCCAGAGGGGCTGGAACGCAAACGCACGTTTACGCATGGCTGGTTCGCTGCGTCTGCGCAGCCTTCTTTGCAGCCGCGACGCCTGTCCACAGCGCGGCTCGCCTCGGCCTTCTCCCCATCTTTCTCCGCAGCCATTTCGGCCCTTCGGGCGTGGCCCACGCCCGAGTTCTAGCCCCCGCGGCCAGCCCTGACTCTGCGGAAAGCCATGGTGCTCGGTGGGCAAGGAGCTGTCGCAAATTATTTCGCACCGTGGCGGGACTTTTGTCCCAGAGCAGCTAGAGTATTGATTTTCCCCATGTGAATCGTAGGCGTGTGCGTTTGTTCGCTTCTGGGTGCGTTTGCTACCATGGTTTGGTGCAGCTGTTGGTAACTGTTGAAATGTCGGTACGTTTGTTGAGGCCATTCTGTCGTTGAAATATGGTTCGTGCGTTTGCCGTGGCAATTTACATGTGAGTACGTCTGTTGTCGAGTGCGTTCGCTACCATGGCGTGGTATAGTTGCTGGTAGCTGTTGAAATGTGAGGACGTTTGATGTGGCCCGTTTGCAGTTGTGATATGAGTCGTTCGCTGCACGTGGAACCTGAAATGTGGGCACTTCTGTTGCTGATTGCGTTTGCTACCATGGCGCGGCGTAGCTGTAGATAGCTGTTGAAATGTGGGCACCCCATGTGTACCCATGTCGCATTGCGCGCAGACCCGCGCGGGCGCGCACGAAAATTCAGAGAAGCGGCGATTCCCGCTCTTGTCCAGATAGGTTCCAGCAGCTGCACGAATGAAGCACAGGTCGTTTTCAACAAGGTTATCCGTAAGGGCTTCGCCCTCTGCCGCCGGCCCCCTCTCCATCATATTGGAATACGCAGGAGCTATGTTGGGATGCCTGGCCGCCGTCGTGGAGCCGCGCCGAAACCTCGTGCGAGGACTATTGGTCATCTTCAAGACAAGCTGATATTCAGACGACAGCGTTGAACTCTGTGATGCATTTTGTGCGAACTTCCCCTCACGGTGTGTACCGGCTGTCCACTTGGAACGATTGTGGGCTGCCTGAAGCTACGTTGGACAAAATCGCGCGGCTTGGACGGTTTTGGGGTTTTTCGGCCTACGTTGCGAGGGAGCGTGGCTTCGGGGACGCGAACATGGCGTAATTTACTAGCGATCGGCCTCGGGGGCGCGACCAGTGCGTGATTGTGAAGGGCTCGCGACCTGGGAGACGCGAGCACTGTGTAATTTACAAGCGATCGTGGCTTCGGGGACACAGATATGGAGCAATTGACAAGGGTTTGTGGCTTCGGGAGCGCGAACATTGTACAATGTGCGATGAACCGTGGCGTCGGAAACCTGAGAGTTGCGCAAGTTACTCGGGACTGTTGCCTCGGCAGCTCGAATATGGTGCAATTTGCAAGGGATCGTGGCCTCGGCAGCGAGAATATGGTGCAAATTGGAAGGGATTGTAGCTTCGGCAGCGCGAGCATGGCGCACATAGCAAGGGACTGGCCGCGGCAGCGCGGATATGGCGCAATATGCAAGGGATTGTGGCCTCGGCAGCGCGAGCATTATCATATTTGCAAAGGATTGTGACCCTGGCAATTCGAACATAGTGCAATTTGCAAGGGGTTGTGGCCATGGCAGCGCGAGTACGGCGCAGTTTGCGAAGGGGTTGTGGCTTCGGCAGCGCGAACATGGCGCACTTTGCAAGAGATTGCGGCCTCGGCAGCGCGAGTGCGGCGCAATTTGCCAGGGATTGTGGGTTCGGCAGCGCGGATATGGCGCAATTTCCAATGGTTTCGGCGGCGCGAGTACGGAGTAATTTGCGAAGGGGGTGCGGCCTCGGCGCGGATATGGCGCAATTTGCAAGGGATTGTGGCCTCTGCAGCGCGAGCACGGCGCAATGTGCGAGGCATTGTAGCGACGGCAACGCGAACCCACCCTAATTCGCGAAGGATTGTGGCTTCGGCAGCGCGAGCGCGATGCAATGTGCAAAGGGTTGTGGCCTCGGCAGCGCGGGCATCGTGCAATTTGCAAAGGCTTGTGGCCTCGGCAACCCATCCACTGCAATTGTCTATGGTTGCTCGCTTCGGATGTGCAGATATCACGTGTTCTTACTTGTGCCACGACCCCCGGGACATTCTGAGAACCCTCCTGGGGGGTGGTAGCCAGGGCGGTTTTCGGTTCCCCCCCTCGCACGGACATTAACAATTTACAGCAAGAAACAGAAAGCATGATTGTAACATCGGAGACTGGAAACTGGACCTGTGCAGGTAGCATTGGAGACTGGAAAGTGCAATTGGCACAGTCAGCAGCAAGCATAATCCTCGCAGCCTGATGGCCCCGCAAGAGGGCCTTCGGTGGAGCTCCCTATGGGGCCACGAAACGTGTGAGGGGTGTGCCAAATCGAGCGCGGGTGCGCCATGTGGACCCTGCTGCTAGGGCCTTCGGTGGAGCTCCCTCCGGGGCCAGTGCGAGGGGTGTGCCGAATCGGGTGCGGGTACGCCATGTGGACCCTGCCGCTGGGGCCTTCAGTAGAGCTCCCTATGGGGCCACGAGACGTGTGAGGGGTGTGCCGAATCGGGTGCGGGTACGCCATGTGGATCCTGCCGCTGGGTCCCTCGGTGAAGCTCCCTATGGGGCCACGAGACGTGTGAAAGATGCGCCGAATCGGGCGCGGGTACGCCATGTGGACCCTGCCGCTGGGGCCCTCGGTGGAGCTCCTCCCTATGGGGCCACGAAACGTGTGAGGGGTGTGCCAAATCGAGCGCGGGTGCGCCATGTGGACCCTGCCGCTGGGGCCTTCGTTGGAGCTCCCTATGGGGCCACGAAACGTGTGAGGTGTGCGCCGAATCGGGTGCGGGTACGCCATGTGCACCCTGCCGCTGGGGCCTTCGGTGGAGTTCCCTATGGGGCCACGACGCGTGTGAGCGTGTGCCGACATGGGATGGGCATGCAGAGAGCAGAGGCAAGGATGGGGAGGAGGGGGGAGGCGGCAGCGGGAGGTGAGGTGAGGGACGCGGGGCGCTGTCTCTTCAAAACGAGGACCCAACACCACAGCATGGTTGGGAAAAAGCGGCCGGCCACACGATCTGAAGGCCCGTTTTTCGTCGTTTTCCTTCGTCGCGCCCGTGCTCATTACTGTCGCCATCGTTGTCTTGCTCGTGATCGCCGCCGCCGGCGTTGTCTCCGCCACCACCGTCGTCATCTCCGCCGCCGTCGTCGTCATCGTATCCGTCGTCGTCGTCATCGCCGCCGTCGTCTCCGCCACCGTCGCCGTCCTCGTTGTCCGACGTCGCCCTCCGTCCTTCGCTCTCTGGAGGCTGTCGGCCGCCTCCGCCGACCTACACGACGCGCGCGAGCAGGTGTCCGAGGTGCGGCGCAGGCTGGCGTTGAGAAGCCCGCGACGAGGATGAAGACGGCGAGGGCGAAGAGGACGACGGCGAACTACGACGGCGATTATGACGACGAGAATGAGGATGAGGGAGAAGCTGACGAAGATCAAGAGGAGGAGGATGAGGAGGGCGACGACGACGACGACGAGGGCGACGACGACGACGACGACAACGAGAGAAGAGGGCCGGGAGGAGGACAGAGACCGCGACGAAGAGAAGGGGAGAAGACAGGGTCGTCGTCGCAGCGGCCACCAGGCCGCAGCGCAAGTGGGAGCGGCGTTAGGGACAGCGACAGTGACGACGACGACGACGACGAGGATGAGGACCAGTGTAAAGCCAAGAGTCATCAACGATGTTGGAATTAACTTTCCCTCCAAGCTCCCTCTTCACAATTGAGGGAGCTGCCTCGTTGGAAGACAACCGTTTGAAGATCCTGAAGCATGCCAATACGTTGTTCTCGGGATTTCAACGCCACGTATCAAGCTGACTGCTTCGTCTAGACGATCCGGAATCGTGCCAGAGCACCGTTTTAGGATTTGAACACCGCGAGTCAACATAGTTGTTGCACCCGCATATCTTGAACCCTTCCAAAACACCATGTCTGGTACGCTGATAATGGGAATCCGTGAAATTCTCTGCAATGTTTGAAAACAAATGTTCGCGGCGCTAAGGCGAGAGCCACATGTTGAAAAGGAACCGCCTTCAATCCGTAAAATTCTGGCAGTGTTGTGCAGCGAATGTGCGCGGCGCTGAGGCGAGAGCCACATTTTGAAAACCACCCGCCCTCCATTTGTGAAATTGTTGCCAACGTTTACGCTTCAGAGTCATAAGTGGTGAGGAAGTCTCAGGCGAAACGCCTGGCCCGCCCTAAAAACTGGCCTCGGGGTGCGACAGGGGGGAGTTGTCTGCAAGGAGAAGGAATGGAGGAGGAGGAGGAGGAGGAGGAGGAGGCGGAGGCGGAATCGGAGTCGGAGGACGGGGATGTGGAGGAGGAGGAGGAGGAGGACAAGGTGGGGGGTGGAGGAGCAGATATCGGGAAGCGGCTTTTGAATTAGCGGGCGAAGAATGGTATACGAAGATTGGTTTCGCGATCCGGGACGTTTGTCCCAGGGCGGCTGGAAAGTTGATCTGTCGAGGGCACGTCGAGGTGCAAATGATCCCAACCCTTGTGTGTTGGACCTTCGTTGTGAATAGAGCACTGCGGTCTCCAGCCCTCCTTCCTCCCGCCTCCCTTCTCTCCTGCCTCTTACCTGACTCCTACCTCGCCTTCCCTGGGAGGCTGCACAGTGCGAAACTGTCGCCACTTTTAAGGGCTGCTGGGGTCCAGCACTGTCACGTCCCACGCCGATCTAGATTCGCCCTCACTATTCCAAGGGGGGGGTGCTGCGAAGTGTGAAACCGTCGCTAGTTTCGAGGGCTGCTGAGGGTCCAGCATTGTAACGTCCTACGCAGCTTCAAACAAGACCATCCCTGGGGGGCTGCGAAGTGCGAATATGTCGCCACTTTCCAGGGCTTCTAAGGGATCCAGCATAGTTACGTCCTACGTATGTCCAGACTAGACCTCAATATTTCCGGGGGGAGGCTGACAAGTGTGAAACCGTCGCCACTTTCGAGGGGCTGCCAGGGGGTCCAGCATAGTGACGTCCTACGCAGATTCATCTAAGACCTCACTGTCCCTGGGTGGCTGCGAAGTGCGAATCTGTCGCAATGTTCGAGGGTTGCTGGGGGTTAGCATGGGCATCCGCCGCGGATTCAGATTTGACCCCACCTTACATAGGGGGCTGAGAAGTGGGAAACTGTCGCCACTTTCGAAAGGCTGCCGGGGGTCCAGCATAGTGACGTCCTACGCAGATTCAGATTCGACCTCACCATCCTTGGGGGGCTGCGAAGCGCGAATCTGTCGTCATTTTCGAGGGCTGCTGGGGGGGGGCAGCACAGTGACGAGCTACGCAGATTCAGATTAGACCTCAATATCTTTGGGGGGGCTGAGAGTTCTGAAACCGTCGCCACTTTCGAGGGCTGCCGGGGGGTCCAGCATAGTGACGTCCTACGCAGATTCAGATTTGACCTCACCATCCTTGCGGGGGCTGCGAAGTGCGAATCTGTCGCGACTTTCGAGGGCTGCTGGGGGAGGGGAGGGCAGCCTAGGAGGCATCCGCCGCCGATTCAGATTGGACCCCGCCATCCCTGGGTGGCTGAGAAGCGTGAAACCGTTGCCACTTTTAAGGGATGCTGGGACGGCCAGCATAGTCGGTATAGGTCCCGAGTTCAGACTAGACCTAGCCATCTATGTGGAGTAGTGCGAAGTGCGAGCCCGTCGCCACGTTGAAGGTTGTTGTGCCATGTCATCACCGTGATAGGTTTAGCCGACGGTGTTTGTCAGTTGTTGTACACGGATTGGAGACGTGCGATAAGTTCCCATGCACCTTGACATGCGTAAGTCAAAAATGGGAGAAATACATAAATTCGCATAGCGCACGTGCAGTGTGGGACGTATGGCATGGAATGTCTGTAGCCCGAGCTACATTATGTAAGCTATGTGGTGCCACATGTGGAGTGCCACCGACATGGTATGTGGTGCAGCTTATGTGTTGCAAAATTTGTGCGCACACTGCCACGCGTGCCAGCGCACAAAGCGCCCGCGAGCCGCTCACCGGCGCCAGTCGGGCGAAAACCAGGAACCGCCTGCAAGCGCAGGGGGCACCCGCGAGGTGCCCACGGGGGCCCACCGAGCGGAAACCTGGAACTGCCAGCTAGCGCACGGCGCCCACGGGCACCCTCCGGGCGGAAACCCGAAACCGCCAACCAGTGTACGTGGCGCCCACGAGGCGCTCACGGGCGCTCCTTAGGCGGAAACCCAAAACCGCAGGCCATCTTGAATGGTCGTAATACCACTTCTGGTGCAAACACGATTGCGGAGGCCTTGCGGCCGGTGCCGCTGGCCGAGAAGGGGGACGACGACGACGACGACGACGACGACGACGACGACGACGACGACGACGACGACGACGGCGGCGATGAGAACGACGATGACGACGACGACGACGCTGACGTTCTAGAGCCGAGAATTTGCACTTCTCCCAGGAAGGGGTGCTCCCCGGCGGGGGAGGGTCACGACCCCCGAGCGATCCCCCCCACCCCCCGCTGGGGATGGATCAAATGGAATGGGCTTCCCATCGACTCGATTACGACATTGCTCGATTTCCCCATGGCTGGAACGCTTGAGAGGGAGCGGCGACGACGACGACGACGACGACGACGACGGCGGCGATGAGAACGACGATGACGACGACGACGACGCTGACGTTCTAGAGCCGAGAATTTGCACTTCTCCCAGGAAGGGGTGCTCCCCAGGGGGGGAGGGTCACGACCCCCGAGTGATCCCCCCCACCCCCCGCTGGGGATGGATCAAATGGAATGGGCTTCCCATCGACTCGATTACGACATTGCTCGATTTCCCCATGGCTGGAACGCTTGAGAGGGAGCGGCGACGACGACGACGACGACGACGACGACGACGACGACGGCGGCGATGAGAACGACGATGACGACGACGACGACGACGCTGACGTTCTAGAGCCGAGAATTGGCACTTCTCCCAGGGAGGGGTGCTCCCCGGGGGGGGAGGGTCACGACCCCCGAGTGATCCCCCCCACCCCCCGCTGGGGATGGATCAAATGGAATGGGCTTCCCATCGACTCGATTACGACATTGCTCGATTTCCCCATGGCTGGAACGCTTGAGAGGGAGCGGCGACGACGACGACGACGACTCAAACGGAAAAGCCTTTCACACACGCCGAGTGATTGGGCTTCGAAGGCGGGCCATTAGATACCTAGGCCGCCACGGGAGCGGAAAGAGCGCTTCAAGAATTTGCCCGCGATAGCTCGCGCCACTGTGCGTAATCACAGCCTTGGCGCTGGAAGCGATGTCTCACACCACTGCGCGTGATCGCAACCGTGGCGTTCGAAGCTTGTTACGTGATCGTTCTTAGCGGGAGCCTTGGCGTTAAGAGTTTTTCGCGTTACCCTTCGCTCTTGAGAGCCGTGGAGTTGAACGATTTGTCACCTCCTCCTCCTCCTCCTCCTCCTCCTCCTTCACCTCTTCCTCCTCCTCCTCCTCCTCCTCCTCCTCCTCTTCATCCTCCTCCTCCTCCTTCTCCGCCTCAGCGCGCCTCCCTTCATGACCACAGTCGCTGGGCAAAACATGGCAGGCTCACTACTCTGCGTGCAATTTCACGGGCGATTTGGCGAAAGGATTCAGACACAGCGTCGCTCCTCATGGCCACAACCGACGTCGGCAGCGCGCACCTGCGCCTCACGGACGACGGCCCCGAGCTCACGAACAGGGGCGAGTATATTGAGCTGATGGACGCGACGGTCACCGCCGACTACGACAGGCGCAGCGCTCTCGCCACGAAGCGCCAGCTGCAGTCCAACGCCGAGATGCAGCTGGACCAGGATGGCAGTCGGAAGGCCGCGATGCAGTTCATGCGCCGGGCGCAGGCCTGGAATCCGTTTCGCCGTCGACTCGTTTTTTCAGGACTTAGGATACCGAACGAGGGGACACCAACAGCACCCCTCACCACCACCCGTTCCCCAGAGGGTATTCTCGGAGGCCTCCAGAAGTTTTGGCAGCCCATCTTCTCGAGCAAGATTGTGGACCCCGTGGCGGTTCAGCAGTACCTTTCCCAGCACCTCCCCAAGTTCGATTGCGCGGGCCTACGGGTTCCAGCTCTTCAGGATTTTCAGAGGGCCATCCGCAAGGTCAGACATACCGTTCCAGGCCCAGATCAGATTCCATACGCTGCATGGGCCACCCCGCCTGGATCTTCTCAGATACTGTATGACCTCATGATGCAGATGTTGGAAACGGGCCTGGCCCCGTACCAGTTCAACGATTCGGTCTTCGCGTTTCTTCCGGAATGAGACGAGCCCCAGGACCAGTATGCCGTCTTTCGAGCTCCAGGTGCCACTCGCCCCCTCTCCTT